ATGACAGAAATACTCAATATACCAAATTAAAGCTTGCATGTATATAGCACTCTGGGCTTATAGTTTACAATGCTTTATAGCTAACTCTCTAAATAATATGTATATATTTTCTGTATCTGTACTAGATTTGACTGTTTTGGTTCAATTGAACAATTAAATAACTGGTTGATTACATTGATTTGATTTTTCAAGGAATCAGTGGGCTATTTCTCTGAGCACACTGATTGCTCTGGCATTGTCTAACTTTTAGTAACTCACATCTATGTAGTGCTTTATAATTTACAAAGCACTTTCCTCACAATATTTCTGTGAAACTGATAGTATTATTTCCTTCATTTTTACAGATCAGGAAAGTGACTTTGTCTATGATGAAACCACAAGTCTGAGGGCTGGGACTGAAATACCTGTTCTGATTCTGGGCTCAGGGCTCTTTGCACTACAATTTGGTACCTATCAAAATGCAACCCATGAATAATGCCCTAAAATCCCAGAATCATTCCCTTCATTAAACAGAACAATATCTATCCTTGAATATGGATAGTCAGTCAACTTGGAGAAAATATGTGTAAAATTGTCTTCATTCATTCCTATTTTAATGTTTAGCATTTTAAATCCAAAAAAGTAAATATGATTCCATTAGAAAAATGGAAAAATTAATACACAGATCGAGACAAAAGTTGAATAAGCTTTTACTTTATTTTTGCTCTAAAAAAGGAAAGTACTTGGTAATTTTTTGTTGCTTCAATAGCATATCTTTAAATGGATAGTTTTATTAAGATAAATATTACAAATAAACCAAAACTAAAAATATTGCATAGTACAAAGCTATAGTCTAAGATGTCAAAGATATTGTTTTAGTTGTCTACATCACACAGCAAATTATGATCTTACCTTGATAATAAAGCAAAAAACTCATGAGCAGATGAGGATAGACTTCCTCCAAAAGGGAACAGAAAGCAGAGAAAGCACTTGGACCTTTCAAAAAGAGTTTATATAAGAAATACTCAACTCTCTTCCTAGTATAGTCCTGGGACAGGATGTCTTTGTATTCCATCAAGGAAAAAACTCTATCATAAACCAGGTAGGGAAGCACTTTGCTCACATCTAATTCCTTCAGTATTTTCTCTTTATAATTATTCATTGTCTCTGAAAGCCACTTGTTATTTTTTTCTTATTGTAGGTGTCTCACAATGATAAAACCAAGACCTGGCTCTTCCATCAAACACCTTGGCATTTATGTTCCAAAGAATTGTTTTCCTTCTGTACTCTCTGCTCACTTTGCAGTCCCCAGTAGACAATGTATGCATACTATGGACAGCTGGCATGCAAATACAAACTGCTGTCTATAATTATTATAAATCTGTTGGAAGAAAGAAGGCCTTTATCTAAACCAGAGAGAAAGCTAACTCAGTGCCTAGCTCCTTCGCCTAAGAGGATTACTTTACACTAATTAGCCCCTTCATAATTGGTAACTTCTGAATCATAAAAGACTCAGGGTTGTTTAACTGCTGTTTCTTTTTAATTCTGAATTTCATCCCTAAATAATGGGTCTCCCCCACCTTGAAAGACCTCATTTAGAGATGCAACATCTGAAGCTTAAATAATTTCTGCCAAATGGTGCTTATCATAAAATAAATGCTTTAGCTAAATGCATATCAGGTACCATGACTTTAATCATTGGAGTCCCACCATTCCTTAGATTTGTAGTATCCCAAAGATGCAGATACAGATAAAAGTAAAGAGTCACAAAGAAAAGTAACTCCAAAGTGATAACCTCAATTCTTTATGTAATTACCTTTCGTTTAATTGCTTAGTTTCATGATGCCCATACATTAAATCAGAAAGTATTTCTTAGTAACACAGTATATATTTGTAAAGATTTAGCATATTTCTTCGAGCTGACTTAATGTTTACCTTTATTAAATGATGTTAAATTAGCGTATGTCCTTTTTGTCCCAACCTTCACATTAGTTTCCACTTAATGAAACAAGATTAAGAGAAGGGATTATTGTCATTTACAGCCTAGGTGTTCTGCCACTGGCAATCTGTCACCATGGATCATACTTATATAATGTAATTGCTCAAAGAACAGATGTCTCAAACAGTTTATTGCAGTTCTGTAATTTTTTTTTTTTGGCTTCAAGTTTACACCCACCAGAAACTCTTTCAGGACAGAAATTAATCCTACCAACAGTTCATTTCCTGTGCTACCAGTTTTATCTCTTAAAGCTAGTGAATTATGGTGTCAGTCATGAATTTCCTACTTGCATAAAGTATGATGCCCTTTTCCTCAGACCACTGGTATTCTTTTTCCTATTGTGAAGGTGAAGGGAAACTGGTTTAGTGAAATCCAAATCCAAATATTATAATTTCCGCATTTCCCCCCAGGAAACTGGAAGAAAGATAAAGTCATATGAACATCATACCATTTTTTTTTCTATTTCTTATTATATCACAACCTGGGATATCAGCTTCTGTGGCATCAATATTTAACATTTGTATTTATGCAAACGTAATATTTATTTGGAAGATAAAGTCATTAGTAGTTAGGACATTTTTCCTGACTTGATTTCATGCATTATCTTATGCCTCAGTTACATTGGATACTTGATGGTGGGGGTTGGAGTGGGGGAGATGTAATTTGTAATAATGTTTGAATAGAGAATTGATTTTATGACTATGTGGGTACAACAAATTGTAATAAGTCCTCAAAGAGATGGGAGTACAAGATCGTCTTACTCGTCCCCTGAAGAATCTATATGTGGACCAAGGAGGAACAGTTAGAACTGAACATGAAATGACTGATTGGTTTAAGATTGGGAAACGAAAATGACAAGCCTGTGTATTGTCACCTTATTTATATGTAGAGTACCTCATGTGAAATGCTAGGCTGGATGAATCAAAAGCTGAAATTAAGGGTGCCTGCTTGGTGAAATAGCAACAATCTCACAGATGCAAATGATACCACTCAAGTGGCAGAAAGTGAAGAGAAATTAAGAAGCCTCTTGATGAGGGTGAAAAAGGAGAATGTAAAAAGTTGGCTTGAAACTTAACATTAAAAAAAAAACGAAGATCATGGCATCTGGTCCCATCACTTCCTGGCAAATAGAGGGAGAAGAAATGGAGTCAGACTTTATAATCTTGCGCTCAAAGATCACTGCAGACGGTGACTGTGGTCATGAAATCAAAAACGTTTGCTCTTTGGAAGGAAAGCTATGGCAAATCTGGACAGCATACTAAGGAACAAGAGACATCAACTTGACAACAAAGATTTTTCCAGTAGTAATGTATGGCTGTGAGAGTTGGACTATAAGGAAAACTGAACACTCCAGAATTGACACTTTCTAATTGTGGTGCTAGAAATTTTTGAGAGTCTCTTGGACAACGAGGAAATCAAGTCAGTCAATACTGAATGAAATGAATTCTGACTATTCAAATACTGAAACTGAAGCTTAAATACTTTGGCTATACAATGAGAACACAGGACCCATTGGAAAATACTCTGATGCTGGGAAAGATTGAAGGCAAAAGGAGAAGGGGACAGCAGAGGATGAGATGGATAGTGTCATGAAAGCAATGAACGTTAGCTTGGACAGACTAGCAGTCCAAGGTAGTGGAGGACAGAAGGGCTTGGTGTACTATAGTCCATGGGGTCACAAACAGTTGGACACAACTGAACAACAACAAATAGATATGTATAAAAACACGTGTATACATAATGCACAATACACACATTACACATGTATGTATATATTATGTACACAGGTAACTACATACATGTATGTGTGTAACACATGCACACACGCACACAACACACACACACACACATATATATACACACATGCATGCATACGTATGCATGTGTTGCACACTACATGCAAGAATCCAAAAATAGTTCTGGAGCACATGCTAGTGTAAATTACTGTAGGGTAACTTCTAGCAGAGTTGTGGATTGGTCCAGAAAGGGCAAAGTCCCTACGTGGCCCAATGTGATTATTGTAATTCTGAAAATTTGGTTACCTCATTTAAGACTCTTAACATTGCCAATCACAGTATAAGAAATGAGACCCATCTTGTAATCTTCAGACACAGTGCCATCTTGTGGTAGTTTATCACCATGCAATCCATTCTTTGTCCCAAGACAATCAGAAGCATTTTAAAAATCACATATTGAAAAGGTTGTTGCATAAAGAATAAAATTTTTAAGTGCTTTAAAAAAGTCTGCATATTTAGTTTTTCCTTATGTTATTTTCTCACAGTCTCAATATGTTTTTCTAAATAATGTGGATATGCTGGATACTATTTTTCCCCAGTCCTTTTTTCTTCAACTATCCTCATTCACTTTGTCTTATTGTTTTATCTTTCTAGAATTCTTTAGAACAGAAAATCCTATAAATTTCAGAAGTCACCATATTTAATGCCTTACTGGTTTAGTCAGTTCTTATATTGACAATACGGTGGCAGATGTGATCCAATCATTATAATGTCTGAAGTTATAACCAAAAGCCTACATAAGAAGCTTTGCCTCTGGTTTTTTTGTTTGGGTTTTTTTTTTTTGCTTGTTTTTGCCACTGTAGAAATGAAAATAGGCTAGGGATAGTAGTGATGGCCCTGTGATTTCATTGTCTTAAGAGGAAATTGTCATGAGAGGAAATTCCCTCTTCTAATGCAGGTCAGTACTTCCTCTGCAATTTAGTCTTAGAGAGTTGCCTATCATAAAGCTGAAAATAATATTTGAGTTATGACCTTAAACAGATAGTTGCATACATAGGTTTTCATTATATTAATTTAGCATATTAGACACATTTTGAGGAATGCAAATTATATAATTTTATCTTTCATATTTTATTGCCACAGATGAAAAGTACCATTTAAGAAATATTAAATGTATGTTCAAAGACCAAAGAGAATTTTCATCTTCAGAATAATTTGTAATGCTCAATACTGTATATGATAGCATTTTAGCGAAGAAACCTTAGAAATAACCTAGTCCAACCACCTCGTTTATATATTGTTCAGATTTATTGGAGGAATTTTGTTAAGGATGACTGAAAACATCTGAGTATAAATATTGAAAGAGAAACATAAATTGAAAAAGCCAACAATTAAAGGCTGCAGGATCTTATAGTGATATTCATTAGTTAATCTTGATACAGGGCAAATTTTACCGTGTAAACAGAACAGTGATTTAGAGCAACAAAATGTTAGGGGCAGCAAAAAATTTTTAGTAACTATGGGTTACAAGAAGTATATATTTTCCAATTTGCTTAGGGCACTAAAAACCTTTGAGCCAGCATCATCTACCTGCAGTGTCAGAAGGGAACACGTCCTCTTAACCCAATCCTAGAGTTAGAAAAGAGATGCTCCATTAATCTTAACATGAAATTTTTCAAACGCCTATAAAAGTCAAGAAGAATAATGGGTGATATTATAGGAAATGTACCATAGCTATGTAGTAGTGCATTTACCCATTAGTTACTCTCTGCATGGGAGAAAGGATAGAGACAGAGACAAAGAGATAGGGAAGAGAAATAAATAAACAGTAAGACATAACCAGTTAAATGGAAAAAATAGAAAAGGAATGAGATCATAAAAAAACAAACTATCTGCAGTCGGTATCTTTTTCACAGGCAGAATTTGTCATTTACTTTTGGTTTCTAAAATTTATTGTGCAGCATGAAAAAAAGGAATATCTTGATAAGGAAGATGTTATCAAAATTCAGATTTTCCCAAAGTATAAGGGATCTAAGAAACCAGAATTAGAGTACCTCAATCTGGACCTTGCAAGTTCACTGGAAGGCCCCAAGGACAGCTGCAAACCCCTAACCCCAAACCCAGTGGCTACAGCATTTTGGTTTTAGGCCATAGGTTTCATACTTGAAATCACAGTGCCAATTTGGGTCTTGGCTGGGATAGAATATAGTTGCATAAATAATCAGAAACCTACTCAGGCCTATTACCATTTCAAGAAGTCCTTCCTAGAAGTAATTATAGGCACCTAGGCAGCACAGTAGATGGAACATGAGGCCTAAAGTCAGGAAAACCTGAGTTCAAATCTGACACTTAAGCTCTGTTTACCTCAGTTTCATCATCTGTAATAATAGCACCTATCTCCCAGCGTGAGGGCTAAATGAGATAATAATTGTAAATTGTAAATAATTGTAAAACACTTAGCACAGTGCCTGGCACACAGTAAACACTACATAAATGTTAGTTATCATCACCATGATCATCATCATTAATTTGGCCCTCAAAGTACATATGACCCCAAATAGGAAAGTTGACAGTGAGACTTAGGAATAGATAACAATTGCTTCAAGAGTGTCTTGGTTACAGGGAGAACCAAAAGCTACTCATGACCTATAATGAATGACTCAGAATTGCCTGATGTTTCTGGATTCAGTCCTAGGAAAACCCAGATTGTCAGCCTTTTTTTTAATATACAGTAATGTTGTAGTAATGGGATACCAGAAATACTTGTGGGAAACATAAATTATAAGTAACTTGGGAGAGGGGAATTTCCCACTGGGGCAAAGTTTGAAATAGAGTTAGCGTATTTCCAAGATACAGGCCCAGGGAGCCTCATACAGTCATCACTGCTCTCCTGGGACTTTTCTAAGGGAGAGTGAGAGCAACTACCTTTTCACTCCACCATCTTGGCTCCCGGAAGCGGAACTCTCTCCTGGGACTTTTCTGAGCCTGGCCCAAACTCATGGGATGAACTCAAAGATCCTGGAAGTTCTGAAGCTATTTTGTATGACAGGCCAAAATACAGGGCTACTGACAAGTAAAATGAGTCCAAAAACAGTATCAAAAGAATCTTGCCACAGCAAGAAAAAAAACTTTGGTTCCCCTTCTTTGGTGATTACTTTCTTTCTCTGTCACTATCTTGTGAGCTTGGTTGTTTTTTGGTGGTGGTATTTTTTTTTTTGCTTGCAATTAGGTTTGTTTGTTCTTTGACCCTAGTGAACTGTGTGATTTCAAAGGAGTCTGGCTCTGGGAAAGAGGGCCAACATAAATGCCACAAGAATCTGGCATTCTCCTCTCTCGACCTGCTAGTGAGAATGAACACCTTCTAACAGAAGGGTTGTGAATTCATATTATTAGGGAAGTTTCCTCGAGGCCAAAGGTTGACAGGAGCTGTAACACACTAGGGAGAAATTCAGAACAGGTCCCTTCATTTAGTGCTGTGTTAGAGTTGACACAGGAAAGTCAAGGAGCTCTGGCTTACGTTACTAAGTACTAGACTCTGAAGAGACATTTGACCTAAAGGAGCTTCATTATTGGAATTCTCCTAGTTGACCTGCAGAAGATTCATGGGTATTACCTGCCCACTGCAGTTTGGGCTAGTGATGGCTCTTAGACACTTGCAAAAATAGACAGAACATTGATACACAAGATGGTAGAGGGGCCAAGATGGAGGTGGCAGTGAGCGTGTAGTACCTGAGTTTCTTGATCACCCTCTCCTCCTGGATGCTCTCTGCTCTCTGGCATTTTGTAACACTGCAGTCTCCTGATTCTCCTTACTGTGGTTATATTCACACCTGTGGTTATATCCAGGGGTGTGCTGGTAAATGTTTAACAACCGGCTTCCCCCATCACCCTATTGTGTGTGTATGTGTGTAGTATAGGTATACATATACATGCAAGACACAATTTTAAATTTAATCTGAATTATTAACATTTTCTCCCTCACTTTCTTAAACTCTAGACAACAAGACAATAAATCAAACCCCAATTTGTTGTATCTGCCAAATTCCAAAGTGTAAATGTTCACATTGAAAATTTAACAATCAACTCTCATAAGTCAGTTTGAACTGGCTCTAACACATCCTGGAGTGTATCCCAAGGTACTGTCCTAGGCCACCTTCTCCCCCATAAGCTCTTTTTTGGTAACCTTATTAGCTCCATAGGTTTAACTATGATCTCTATTCAGATGACTCAGGTTTAGATATCTAGTCTTAGTCTCTCTAGAACCTCAATTTCACACCAATTTCAAACTGGATGCTTTGGTGCTATAGCCACAGCTACCAAAGACCACAAAAAAAAAAGTCTGACCACCAAAGTCCTTGGCCCTGTCCAATCAGAAAGTAGTATAACTTTGTTTACATTAAAGGAGAATTACTATCCACTTTGCTGCTGTACCCCTAAGGACCACGGAATCTTTCCATTTAGCCTTTCATATATATATATTTGTCTCCCCAATTAGAATGTGAGCTCCTTGACAGCAGGGACTATTTGTATCCCCAGCACTTAGCATGGTATTTGTACATAGGAATCAATTAATAAATGATTTTTTCATTCATTCGTTTATTCATGTCCCAGAGATAACATGTCCAAAAATGAACTCTATTTTTACCTCAAATTCTCCCCTCTTCCAAATTTTCTAATTTTAATGAAAGATACTAACGTCACTCCAGTGTCTCAGGTTTGAATTTCAGCATTATCCTCAACTGCTCACTCTCACTCCACATAACCAATCAGTTAGCAAGTCTTGACTCTTTCTATTTCCAAACCACTCTTGCATCTGAATGCTTCTCTCTACTCATACAGCTATCACCTTAGTTCAGGCCCATATCACCTCTTACCTAGACTTTTGCAATAACTTTCTAATTGGTTTCCCTTTCTCAGGTCTCTTACCATTCCAGTCCAGCCTACCTACTGTTACCAAAGTGATTTTCCTCAAAGTGCAGATCTGACCACGTCAGGCTGCTACTCAATCTAACTACAGAAGCTCACTACAGCCTTTAGGATGAAATATAAAGTTCTCTGTTTAGCTCTTAAAACCTTTCACAATCTGCCTGTACCCTATCTTTACAGCTTCAATGAACATTACTTCCCCCCCCCCAACTCTCTTCAATCCCAGCCAAACTGGCTCTCTTTCTGCTCCTCACACACAACACGCCATCTTCCCATCTTCATGCCTTTCTCCTGGACATTCTCCATGCTTGGAATGCATTCCCCCCCTCCCCTATGGCTCATATAATCTCTCTTTTCCTTCAAGAAACAGTCAAGCACCACCTACAGGAATCCTTTTCTGATCCCACCAACTGCTAGCACTCCCTCCACAGCCATTTTGGCAAAGGGCCCAGGTCTGCCAACTTTCATTCCCCTCCCCGCTAGGCTTCTGATTGTCTGGACTTTAGCTGCTATCTTCCCCTGGAATTGCCCTTTGGTGCTGGGGGCCTCTTCATTCTGAAACATTCCTTTACCATGCTGGTCCCATTCTCCTATTGGTGAATTTCTCCTAGGGTCACCATTTTGTGGAAAGAACCTGGCAGTCTAACATCTTCCTCTTCTCAACTATGTTTGTCTTTCTGGACTTCACATTGTCCCTATAGCTCCCCCCCAACCCCCTCCCATTTTCCACTCCCTTCTTCCATTAAGCTCCTTAAGGGCTGACTCATTTCTTTCTGTTTGTATTTGTATCCCCAGCTCTCACTGCAATGGCTGGCATATAGTAAGCCTTCAATAAAGGTTTGTTGCCTGCCTGTCTATTCTCTTTGTATTTCTGTATACCTATATGTGTACTTGTCTTCCCCAATAGAATGTAAACTATATGTTCATGGCACATGCTAGCACAGTGCTACATGTCTGTTGATTGATTGATAAAAATGTTGAACAGAATAAGCCCAAGGAAAGATGCCTGATTCACTCCACTAGAAACCTTCCTCTAAAATAACACTGACTCATTAATGATTACTTTTTGAATCTAATCATTCAATCGGTTTGAATCCACCTAACTGTGCTTTTATCTACTCCCTATCATTCCATTTGGTCCACAAGTAAAACATGAGACACTTTGTCAAAAGTTCTGCTCAAATTTAGGCATGTTATGTCTGCAGCATTCCTCAGATCTACCAGTCTACTTACCCTGCAGGACAGGAGTGTTTATTATACTTAGGCGATAGCTTCCTGTCTTAAACTACTTACTTAGCACAATGCTTTGCACCCTGTAAATATTCAGTAACTGGAACTGTCTTCTCTGGCTTTCATGGTTGAGTCTTAAAGGAGCTGTAAAATTTAGAAAGGAGAAGGAAGAGGAGAATATTCCAGGCAGGATTTAGCGCATAAACAAAGTTGTAGGGGCAAGAATGAGTATAGAGTTTTCAAGGGACACTGATGGGAGCTAAGGATTTGTGTCGAGGAGTGTTACTGGGGGAAGGTCGGACTGACCAGGACACGGAGGCAGGTTGGGGAAAGCCTTAGATGCTAGGATGGAGAGTTGGTGCTTTGTCCTGTAGCAAAGGCGAAGCCGATGAAAGTATCTGAACAGGGAGAATGGCGCGATGGAGGCACTGCTTCAGGAACATGCACCGCGGTGTCTGATAAAGTGAACGGGAGGGAAAGGGGAGGCAAGCAGATCCTTTGCTTTGCTGAGGGGAAGGGAGCAGGCACTGCCAAGGGGAGAACCAGCAGGTGTTGCACACTGGGCTCTGGGGACAAACCGACGGACTGGTTGGTCCAACCTCTGGTGATGGAAAAATGGTGATCTCTTTTTGGGAAAGAGGTCAACAGGGGAAGATGGCTGGGAGGGAAAAAACAATTACTGTTTAATGGTGATAATGACGGCGTTTCAGGGATCTCGAGTCACTGGAGCGCCCTTGCCTCACTTTCCTCGTCTGTAAAATACGCACTTCGTCCCAGGGGACCTCCAAGGTCGCTTCCGCCTCTAAATCCTGGGCTTGTACGACCCCGGGCGTCCCGCTAGAGGGGTGTTGATGACGGCGCCCGGAGGCCCGGCTCGGTCGGCTTGGCTCGGCCCGGCTCTCCGCACGTGGCCCCACCCGCGCTCCCGCCCCAGCCCAACCCCCGGCGGCCCGCGGGGCAGCGGCGGCGGCGGCGGCTGCATCATGGCGGCCGACGGGGTGGCCTCTCGCTTGGCCCGGCAGGAGCAGGACATCCGCTGGCTGACCGCGGAGATCGGGCGCCTGAAGGAGCAGCAGCAGCCGCAGCCCGGGCTGGAGACGGGGCCGGGGCCCTGGCCCTGGCCGCGCTGGGCCGGCAGCCCCAGCCCGGAGCTCGAGCGCCTGCGGGACGAGAACGAGAAGCTGCGCTACCGGCTCCAGCACCTGCGGCGCAGCCTGGAGGCCGAGCTGAGCCGGCAGCCCGAGCAGCCCCGCGAAGCGGCCGGAGCCCAGGTAAAGCGAAGCCGAGGCCTGGGCGGGGGCGGGGGAGCGCGGGCCGGGGGCGGGGGCGGGAGCGCGCCTGGGCCTTGACGTTGACCGTGGAACTCCGCCCGCCGCCGGCTCAGATCTGGGGGATTCCCCGAAACTCGGGGCGGGGGCGGGGGGGCCGATATCTGGGTCACGATCCCACGAAAGTACCCTCTCTTGCGTAATTTCTTCCCTGCCCTCTCTGCGTTCCCTCTTTTTCCAGTTAGGCCCAAACGGTGCAAGTAGTAACGGTTACTCCGATTACTACTGAGGATGAGGGCACAGAGTTCAATCCAACCCACATGGATTGAGTGCTTGTTGTGTCCAGAGGAAGCTCAGAGCTAGGCCCTGGGGATACAGAAGCTAAAAGGAAGCGGTCCCCACCCTCCTCCCTGAGCTCTCCTGGTTCTCCTTTCGGTCCCATTCTTCTCAGGCAGGGATGGATGTTAGGCACTGGAGGATGGACCGCCGCATCACCGAACACCCGTAGGGGTCTTCCCTGGGCCGGCTTCTCTTGATGTTCCCTTTTCCTGACGTCATCAGTTCCCATGTGTTCAATTATCATAAGCAGATGACTCTCCTAGCCGCCTGTCCAGTCCTCCTCTATCTCCCTTGCTACAATCCCTTATCACTGTTTGCTGGACGTGTTGCCTGGATAGACACCTTATGCTAAAATGTGAGCTCCTTGAGGGAAACGTGTCTCATTAATTGGCACTTGGTAAATTCTTGTTAATTGAACCCAAACTTAACACACTCAAAAGAAAACATTTGGCCCTCAAACTCATCCTTCTCTTCCCTTCTCCCCCTCCCTCTAATGCTGACAAATGGCATGACACATCCTGGGGAAACTTATTTTTGTTGCCTATGTTCTTCACTCTTCCTCATTCCCCATCCATCTAGTCAATTGTTAAGTCTGGTTGATTCTACTTCCACAGTATTTTTGCTATCTGTTCCCATCTCCAGTCATGTGCAGGACCTCAAAACTTTTCACCTAGGCTATTACAGTGGTCTTCTAAACTCATCTCTCTGCCTCAAATTTGTCCCCCCTTCTAATCCATTTTATACAACTGCAAAATTGATGCTCCTAGAGCTCTATTCTGACCATGTCACTCTCTGCTCAGGAGGCTTTAGTGACCCCCTCCTCACCTGTAGGATAAGAACCAAACTGCAAAGGCTTGGAGACAGGTGGCATGACACATCCTGGGGAATGTCTAGTAGACCATTTTGTTTGGAATTTACAGTGTGTGATATGAAGTCTGGCAAGATGAGTAGAAGCCAGATTGTACAGGAATTTAAATGCCAGGCTGAAAAATTTGTTTTGTACCAGAGGAAACATGGGCTGGTCTTGTTATTCTTACCTACCATTTAGGGCAGAGGTTGTTTACCTGGGGTCTGTGAACTTGTTTTTGAAAAATATGTTGATAACTTTATTTCAATATAATTGATTTCCTATGTATTTGTATTCACATGTATTTTATTTTGTGCATTGAACAAATCGATAGTCTTCACCAGACTGCCAAAGGAAGGAAGGAAACAAACATTTATTAGGTGCCTGCCGTGTGCCAGGCACTATGCTAAGCACTTTACAGATATGGACTCCATGACATAAACACCTCTGTTCTTAGGCTATGTGAAGTGTAAATAGATGTGTGTGCTTACATACATATGCATACACACTTGTATATTGTCATTGTTTAGTTGTTTCAGTCATGTCTGACTCTTCATGACCCCATTTGGGGTTTTCTTCGCAGAGATACTGGAGTGGTTTGCCATTGCCTTCTCCAGCTCATTTTACAGATGAGGAAATTGAGGCAAATAGGATTAAGTGACTTTCCCAGGGTCACCCAGCTAGTCAGTGTCTGAGGCTGGATTTGAACTCAGGTCATCCTTACTCCAGGTCCAGCACTCTACACTGTGCCATCTAGCTGTTTCTATATCATATGTATGTATATGTGTAAATCAACTCCTGAATAAATACTTTGTAAGAACAGGGAGCACTTTTACATCTCTCTACAGAGTCTGCATGGCCACCATTTACAACTCACTTTGTCATTGATAAAATTGTGCTATGGGCTAGATGTCATCTCAGATCTTTGTGGGGGTTTCACGAGCATCCACATCCACTTTGGGTTGTTGGCAATAATGTAGGGGAGCTAAATTTGCTCCAATATAGTTATAATTTATAAAATATAATTTATTCTCTCTTTTTCTGGTTTCACCATTTGCTTCCTGGGTATATCTCCTTGCCCACAGACGTTTCATATTCAACATGTCCAAACTGGAACTTATTGTCTATCCCCCTAAACTGACCACTCCTCCAAACTTCCCTTTTTTTGTTATCTCCCTAGTCACCGAGATTCATAACTTTGGAGTCATCCTTAACCTTTCCCTCTGTCTCATCCTCCATATTCCATTAGTTGCCTATTCTTGTCAGTTCTCTATAACGTATTTTACATTTGATTCCTCTGTACTTACTGGGCCATCACCTTAATTTAGACCCTTATCATCTTCCATCTGAACTATTATATTTTCCTGTGAATTAGTCCACCTGTTTCTGGACTTATTCATTCTCCACACAGCTGCCAAAATAATCTTTTTGAGAGACTGGTTTGACGATGTTGCTTCTCTGCTGAAAAGCCTTTGATAGCTCCCAGTTAGTTGCCTCTGAAATAAAATACAAACTCTATAACCTGTCATTTAAGGCCATCCATAATCTGGCTCCAATCTACCTTTCCAACTTTATTTTACATTTTTCCCCATCATGCACTCTATATTCCAGCCAAAATGGACTGTTTGTGGTCCTTTGAGCTCAGCATGCATTTGAGTGCATCCCACTTTCCTAGAATGTACTTTCTCTTCCTATCCACCTCTTAAAATCATCACCTTCCTTCAAGGCTCAGCCTCAGACACTACCTTTACAGAGTTTTTCATATCAATGCTCTGCCCTCCACTGATTACTTTTATTTACTTTCTGCATATATATTGCCTCCCTTTAGTAGAATATAAATTCCTTGAGTCTAGGGACTATTTCCTCTCTGACTTTGCATCCCTGGTGCCTAGCATAATGCCTTAGAGATACTAGGTGCTTAATAAATATCTGTGAAATCAGGTTGTTATTGAATCAGAGTAGGAACCAGTAGACTGGTCTCTAACAAGGGTAGGCTCTGTTTTTGGTTTATTGTGTCATTTGCCACCTTTCCCAATGTCCTCTCAGAAATTTTCTGTAGCAGGAAAAACATGAGTTTTATTTGCCTGAAGAATGCCAAAGTGTCTCTTATTCATCATTCAGTAGATTATTCGGTTGATCTAAATGTTCCAGTGGTTTCTCTGCTGGCTACCCTGATAAAATCCCTGAACTCCATGATTCTTACTTCTTAGCCCCTACCAGCCTCAGTCCCTTTTCCTCCTGTCCTACCGTAGGCCTAACTGAGGCCATAGGAGCCACCAGCAGTGTTAAGGGCTGAAGAAGTCCTCACTCCCATTGCAGCACAGGTAAGGGGCAAGGTAGAGGAAGAGGATTTTCAAATAACCAATTTATTAAACAACCTATTTGTTAGTTGGGGGCTACCTGTATGGAATGCCCATCCAAAGGCATTCCATCAAGTGTGAGGGTAGCCTATGAGTATCATCATAGATGAAAAATATTGGGTTTCTAAGGTGCAGCTTTATAACCATTTTCCAGTGACATGAGTGGTTATTTTTCCAAGGATGAAAAATCCCAAAACTCCAAAGAAATTTATGTTGGTTGAACTAAGGTGTATATATCAAGTCTGTGATGAAGTAAGGATTGATGGTTGGTTAGGCCATTCTTTCTCAGCCAGTCAGTTGAAGAAGGTTCAGCATAAGTGGCAAAGATATGAACTTTGTGTTTCTAGAGGATGGAATTCTTGCTTGGCACCAACCCCAGGAACTACCAATAATAATAAAGAAAGAAGTAGCTTATATTTATGCAATGTTTTATATTCATTGTCTTTTCTCGGGTCTCTCAGTTACTTTGTCTTGTCCTACTTTTTGCCATCTGTATGAGTGGTTTTTAACATTCTGTCTTTTAGCTTCCTTCCACCACAAACCAAAAAGATGTTCAAAATAAAAATAAAAAGGAGAAGAAAAAAGAAAATGAAATTGTAAATGGCTTGAAGAGTGAGGTAAGTAATTCTTAATAAGATTATACTAGAAAGGGCTACCTCTGATTTTTAATATTTTGAGTTAAAGTATGATTTATCTAGGTACCATAAATTAAATAAACTAGGCAGAACTTAGATGCATTTTTTATATATTCTAAATGCAGTAGGCTATCAGTTACAACTTGCTTTAAATATCTGTGATTTCTTCTGTGTGGGGTATACCTTTCACCAAGGTAGAGCACAACCCTTCTAATGTATGGTGAAGTTCTGTAGTTGAAAAGTTCACCTGGAGGC